CTACCACCCTATAAAGCACTAAACAACACATCAACACACCCCCGACAACATTAACATTTATATAGCCCCGCTTAAACCCACAGGAGCCACACAGCGCCTGGGGGTGGGAAGAGAATGGTTGGGTCGATGGATAAAGGGGGCTCCAGTTTTTGAACCCAAAAACCCTTTGGGGCAGCATCAAGGACCTTGAAGGAGGCAGTGACAAAATATATGCATGTCACGTTCCCTCAGTGGGCGATTTTTGGTGATTGTGGGCGGGGCATGACTGTCATGGGAATCTGTATAACCCGAGGTACACCCCCCCCCCCCCAAATCTCTCTCTCTTCTTCTTACACTTTGAGTGAGAGCATGGGGTACAATCTCTTGGACCCGAATTCGATTACCGGGTGCGTTGGGTGGTTATGTTTTTTCAGATGTGAAAACCCCCGGATACTGTCTGTGGTTCAATCCCCCGGAAGGGTGGGAAACGTTTGGGATGTTTCCTTCCCTATGTTCCTGTTTACCTGCAGTAAATAGGTACCTGGGTGTTAGGTGATGGTGGGGTGGATCCTGGGGGGCAAAATTGAGGACCACAATGGAATAATTATTATTTTATTATAATCAAGGGGGGGAAACGTAAACCGGAGGATTATACAGCGCCTGGGGGGGGGATGTGGAAGGATTCAGGGTTAATTCGGGGAAAAGGAGCCGATCCAATTCCCTAAATCAAGAGCCCCTCACCACACAATGGAATAAGACAGCCTCCCTGACGCATGATTTTTTTTGGGTTATCCTGGGTGGCTAACCCCCCCCCGGGGTTTTCCTGGGTGGCATCCCTCCCGAGGTTATCCCGGGTGGGCAAAACCCCCCCTGGGTTACTGGGTGGTAACCCTCCCCAGGTTATCCTGGGTGGCTAACCCCCCCCGGGTTTTCCGGGTGGCTAAACCCCCCCCCGGGTTATCCTGGGTGGTAACCCTCCCCAGGTTATCCGGGGTGGCTAACCCCCCCCTGGGTTATCCTGGGTGGTAACCCCCCCCAGGTTTCCTGGGGGGCTAACCCCCCCCCGGTTTATCCTGGGGGGCAAAACCCTCCCCGGGGTTTATCCTGGGTGGTAACCCCCCCCCAGGTTATCCTGGGTGGCTAACCCTCCCCAGGTTATCCTGGGGTGGTAACCCTCCCCGGGTTACCCTGGGTGGCAAACCCCCCCCCGGGTTATCCGGGGTGGCAAAACCCTCCCAGAGTTATCTGGGTGGTCCCCCTTTCCCCCAGGTTACCCTGGTGGAAACCCCCCCCCAGGTTAAATACCCAAAAGAAATTTTGCTCTCTTATAAAGGTTTACGTACTATGGTGTTTTTGTAACTGCAAGTGCCCAAATTTTCACCAAATTTTAATAGTTTTGTGAAGTCATTTACGTTAAACCATTTGGGGTTTATACAGTGCCTGGGGGGGGGGGGGGGAAGGCAGGAATGGCAATAAGTCACTTCGACTTTTTTGGGTTTTCCAGGTTCTCTACAATGTGTATTTGTAATTGTGAAACTGTATTTGTGTATATCTGAATAAATTACAAATTTAGGTTAAATTTTCTTTTTTCTTCAAAACTTACATTCGACATAAATTTTACCCATCGGTGACTCAGATCTTTTTCGCTAGTGAAATGTTCTGCATAACCAGGGGCTTTTTTTGGCCGCGAGGGTACCCATCTCTGTACAAACATTGTATCATGTGGTCCTTTCAGGGGGGGCACAGGTGCCACAGGCAGTTACAGTGCTGCAGTTTACACTGAAGAATGGCAGTACATTAATGTTCCCCAAGGGCGTAAAATTAATGTTGCCCTGTGTGTGATGTGGTAATGTTATTGTCATGGCAGAGGTCATGGTTGTTCCCATAAAGGCTGAAGGGGCCCTCGAAAAGGCAACAGTTCTTAAATAAAACAAAAATAATAATGACAAATCTTCAGATAGGTCCTAAAGGCCTCTGTCTTCCACCCAGACTGCCACCCTAAGCCCTCCCCGTATACAACCTTGCCCCCCTCAAGGAAAGCCCCTTATGCTAGTGAGGGGTCTTGATTAGGGAATTGGGATTGTGCCCCGTTCCTAAATTTGGCCCTAATATTTTCCATTCCCCCCCCCCCCATAGGCACTGTATAACTCTAGGGGTTTAGGCTCCCCCATGATTATAGAATTCCTAGCTGTCATGGGGAATTTACTATTTATGTGAAGAATTACACCCATGGACCATTCAATGCAAGTGCAGTGGAGTAGTATAATAGCAGAGTTGTAATAGTAGTATAATCTGGGGAGACTAAAAAACAGGATTATAAAGCTGTGTCAAGGAAAACCCCCCTTGGGGGTAGTGTAGTAGTAGTAGTGCAGTGGTATTATAATTTAATAATAATGGGGGGCACTAAACCCTACGATTCAAGTGTGTACAGTGTGTGTGTGTGTGTACACAAATGATGAAGTTAAGAGATAAAGGGGGTTGTACAAGCAGTACTACAATATATTTTACGTTGGTTCAAAGATGAAAAACTCTGCTGTCAGTCACTCTTCAACATTCAGAAACTGTCACAATAAATTTTGACCTCGTAGGCCCCCAGTTTAACTGGGGGGAAATGCCAAACCCATATGACTGAGGAAATATACGGCAACTCAAATTCCTTGGATCAAAAATATTAAACCACTCCCCTTCCCTTGGACCAATTCTTTACATATCCAATTATCCCTCACAGGAAAGGGGTGAAGCACTTTGGGAGGATTAGGTTCAAATCAAGAAAAGGGGCGTTTTAAATCCCCTTTTTTGGATCAAGAGCCCCCCATGGAAGTGAAATTTTGTGGCCCGTGACAGGTGGAAATTTATTAGAATGTCGAAATGGCAGTGAAAATCAACGTCCTTTTCAGAGCAGTGCTAGTTTTCCCAGAGGTGTCCCGAGTGAGGCGCTGTGGCGATGCATACAGGAAAAGTGCGTCTCCAGATATGACAGCAGTGGGAAAATATCTAGTTATAATTTTAATCAGGGGGAGCCCTGTAGGTTTACAGCGCATGTGGGGGGAGGTATTCGCCTCAATTCGGGGAACTGGAGCAAGATTTATTCCCTAGAACAAGGCCCCTCACAGTGTCAGAAACCCCCTTTAGGGAGATGATAGCTGAAACCTAAATGGTTTTGACAAAAAAATTTGTTGGGGACCAACTAGATTAACATTGTTGTCATTTGGCTGAGGGTTGTCAAGATCACTGAAAAACAATCCGATAAAAAAATCTTTCTTTTTCTTCTTTCTTTCAACAAACCAGCCAATACCCGTGGGAAATTGGGAGGGAAATCATGAACAGCTGATTAAATGGAGGGTTTCTTGTTCATTACCCCCAACATTGACCATCCGGGATCCAGCAAAATGATGTCTTTGCATTTACCCGAAAAGTGGTATAATTATTTGAAAGCGGGAAAAAGGGTGATGGGAGTTAAATTTTCGATAGTGTGTTTTCTCTTAAGAGTTCAAAACAAAGAATGATGAGGAGAAACCCGCTTTTTCGTGTAACAGCCATGAGAATTGCATATAACTGATTTGGAAAACAAGCAGAATCTTGTAATGAAAATACCCCCCAGGTGATTTTTGTCAGGAAAAAACTACTCCCTATCCAACACCATCGCCTATTTGAGCCCTCATGTTTCACTGCAACAGCACGAGATAAAAAAGTGATCAAGAAAGAAGAGCATAAAAAATTACCGGCAAGTGGCTTTCCCCCTGGAAAAGGAAAAAAGCAAAAAAGAATCATTAGTTTAAAGGAGGAAGGGGAAAAGGAAAATGGGGTGAACATGAGGGAAGGTAAATTCAGGAAGCCAAAAGGTGAAAGAGGAGGGAAAAGGGGACGATATCAGTTTGAGCTTATAACTACACGTGGGTCACTAAGGGAACTGGCACCCCAAACAGTTAACATCATGTATGGACTAATGGGGGGAAATAAATGATGTTATCCCTTCTGGGGGTTTCCCTTTATGGTAGTGAGGGGGTAATGATCTAAGGAATTGAAAATGTGCCCCCCCTTTTTGATCAAACCTGAATGTTTATATTCCCCCAGGGACGCATGATCTTACAGGTTTGCACCCCCATAAAAGTAAATAAAAGGGTTTAATGCAGTTTGGTAGAGAAGCGTTTTATGTGATGTAACATAAAAATTTTTTGTAGTAGTGGACATTGTTTCTAAATAGACTGACCCAATAAATTTTGTTCCAGTCATCTTTATAGTTCCCCATTTTTATCCCATCAAATTAAAACTAGGCTCAAGGGTCCCCCTTTACCATTTACAAAGTCACAGGGATTTGTAAATGGTCCAAGTCGGCCCAAAACGTCGCGTAAGCTCCTCTTTTTATGTGCGTTTTTTGTGTATGGCTTTTCCCTCCACACTTTCAGCGAAAAATCCACATGGATTAGACAGTACAGCTCTCCCCTACTTAAAACGGTTCGGTTCCCAGCAGTCGTTATAAGTCCCCGTATTTCGTTACAGTGGTGTAGTTACAGAACAAACCTGTGAAAAAATAGGAAAATTCCAAGGCTTTCGTAACTTCTCGCATTATTTCCTTGATAATGTGAGAGTCACAAAGCACTTTGAATTTCAATTTTTCACAGTGGTTTTTCTGATATTTTGATAACCCGTTTCTGTAATCTAATTGCGTAAAGTAGTGATATGTACTTGAAAAAAAGTAACTAGAAGTTTAATAGTTTAAACACATACAATAAGGGAAAAAATACAAAAATCGTACACCCCCAAACCGACTTATGACCTGTTCGACATATGACCACTTGACTTATGACCGGGTTTTTTATGCCAAATTTCTGGGAAATAAACAATGTTTGTGTTGTACACAGTGTTTATCCTAAACCTTACAGTATAAAATACAGTACTAACAGCATAAAAAGTAAAGTAAAAAATGAAATACCAAAATAAAACAATAAAATAAAGTCATTACAAAAATGTGATGTGATATTCGGTAGTAAGGTTCAACCTATGTCCATTTCGACTACGACTGGTTGGTCAGAACCAAGCTAAGTTGTAAGTCGGATGGAAACCTGTACATTATTCTGTCCACTTTTGTTTCCACTGTGATGGCCTGGCACTTCTTAGTACTAATAGTACTTGCATCACCACTGCTTTTGCTTAACAGCAGACATATTGGGGGTTATAATAATCACAAATATCACTGAATTTGTGAAGAGTGCACAAGCACACATACGAACGATACCACTAGAGTAACCTACTACGTATCGTTTACATCTCTGCTCTTCCCGCAAATTGTTCATTATCAAAAGTGCACAACACAAATGTTCGTATGTTTGGGTTTCTGTACTACACAAAAATGAAATAATCCATATGAATTTATTTGTTCGCCCTGGCCAGTGTTTTCCTGATGATATGGTGGTGTCTCTTTGAATTTAGTTAAAATGTACAGAATATATTGAAATAATCCAATGATAATTCACCAAGTAATATGAGGACAGCCATCACCACCTCATCAGTGTTTCAACATATTACATACAACATGTGCCTGAAATGTAATGCATGCTAGTGGTTTTTTTTTTTTGTGCTTAACAATATATGATTACATGTAAACTACATTTTCTATACTGCAGAAAAAACACAAACTTGTAATGTATGAGGCAGCAATTTATAGGGTTAATGCTCCTAAGTAATTTGACAAATCACTACTGCAATGGTTGGAACCAACTGCTTATGGGATAGTTGTTTTATACAATGTAGCAATAGTGTTTTTTTTAGTGTGTTTGCAGTGTTTTGTTGCCACCATGGTAATACTAGCTAGCCAATGAAATGCTACAGTTGAGACTTTATATTGTATGCAATGCTAATAGTCTAAGTGTTCCATTTAAAGGTAAATTCTCTGCACAATCTGCCTGATGCCATAATGCAAAATCAACTGCTAGGCCACAAGCAACTAGAATGCAACTGCAATATGCTACCTGCAAAAATGTACATAAAATTAGTTACATAATTGAAATGGATAGATGAGATAAAAACAAATCAGACAAGTTTTTCTATAATCAAATTTAAAATTTATATATACTAATACAGTGATGTATGTGAAAAATGCATGTACACAAACATATACAGTCAAACTCACAAAATCCTGAGATTTTATAATCATTTTACTGAATTTAAAAAGAAAAACTTTTTTCTTTTTAGATCACCCTGCCTTGATGGGATACGGCCAGTTCGTCAAAAAAAAAATATATATATACATGTATATATACAGTGGACCCCCGCATAGCGACCTTAATCCGTGCAAGAGGGCTGGCTGTTATGCGAAATGTTCGGTATGTGAATGAATTTTCCCCATAAGAAATAATGGAAATAAAATTAATCCGTGCAAGACACCCAAAAGTATGAAAAAAAATTTTTTTTACCACATGAAATGTTAATTTTAGTACACACAAACTGAAAAAGGCATGCACAATTACATGACACTTACTTTTATTGAAGATCTGGTGATGATTGATGGGATGGGAGGAGGGAGAGAGAGAGTGTTAGTGTTTAGAAGGGGAATCCCCTTCCATTAAGACTTGAGGTGTCGAGTCCTTTTCTGGGGTTACTTCCCTTCTTCTTTTAATGCCACTAGGACCAGCTTCAGAGTCACTGGACTTCTTTCGCACAACATATCTGTCCATAGTGGCCTGTACCTCTCGTTCCTTTATGATTTGTCTAAAGTGGTTCACAACATTGTCATTGTAACAGTCACCAGCACGGCTTGCAATAGCTGTGTGAGGGTGATTTTCATCAAAAAAGGTTTGCACTTCAAGCCATTTTGCACACATTTCCTTAATCTTTGAAGTAGGCAATTCCTTCAATTTCTCTCTCCCTCCTTTGAACCAGTTTCCTCAGGTCTGGCCTCTTGCTCTTGAAGTTGATCTATCAGCTCATCAGTGGTTAGTTCTTCATTGTCCTCCTCCACAACTCTTCCACATCCTCCCCACTAACCTCCAACCCCAAGGACTTCCCCAATGCCACAATTGATTCCTCAAACTGGTATACTCCTCTCAGGGTTAGCCTCAAACCCTTCAAAATCCCTTTTGTCTACACATTCTGGCCACAGTTTCTTCCAAGCAGAGTTCAAGGTCTTCTTAGTCACTCCCTCCCAAGCCTTACCTATAAGGTTTATACAATTGAGGATATTAAAGTGATCTCTCCAAAACTCTCTTAGAGTCAGTTGAGTTTCTGAGGTCACTACAAAGCACTTTCAAACAGAGCTTTTGTGTACAGTTTTTTTGAAGTTTGCAATAACCTGCTGGTCCATGGGTTGCAGGAGAGGAGTGTATTAGGAGGCAAAAACTTCACCTTAATGAAGCTCATGTCCCCTAAAGTCGCTCTGCCACGTTCTGTAGGATGACCAGGGGCATTGTTAACACCAGGAGGCACTTAAGTTCTAATTTCTTTTCAGTTAGGTAATCTTTGACATTGGGGGCAAATGCATGGTGTAACCAGTTATAGAAAAAAGTCCCTAGTGACCCATGCCTTACTGTTTGATCTCCACAGCACACACAAATTATCCCTTGAGGACATTCTTTTGCCTGAACGCTCTGGGAGTTTCAGAGTGATACACTAATAAAGGCTTAACTTTGCAATCACCACTAGCATTGGCATACATCAACAAAGTAAGCCTGTCTTTCATAGGCTTATGTCCTGGGAGTGCCTTTTCCTCCTGAGTAATGTAGGTCCTGCTTGGCATTTTCTTCCAGAACAGGCCTGTTTCATCACAATTAAACACTTGTTCAGGTTTCAGTCCTTCAGTTTCTATGTACTCCTTGAATTCCTGCACATATTTTTCAGCCGCTTTGCGGTCCGAACTGGCAGCCTCACCATGCCGTTATCACACTATGTATGCCACTACGCTTCTTAAATCTCTCAAACCAACCTTTGCTGGCCTTAAATTCACTCACATCATCACTAGTTGCAGGCCTTTTTTTAATTAAATCCTCATGCAACTTCCTAGCCTTTTCGTCTTATGATCGCTTGAGAGACGCTATCTCCTGCTAGCTGTTTTTCATTTATCCACACCAATAAGAGTCTCTCAACATCTTCCATCACTTGCGATCTTTGTTTCGAAAACACAGTTAAACCTTTGGCAAGAACAGCTTCCTTGATTGCCTTTCTGTTTGCCCACAATAGTAGAGATGGTTGATTTGGGTTTCTTGTTACAACCTGACCAGGTCGGTGATACGCACTCCACTTTCATACTTATCAATGATCTCTTTCTTCATCTCTATTGGAATTCTAACCCTTATTGCTGTAGGGTTGGAACTAGAAGCTTTCTTGGGGCCCATGGTCACTTATTTTCCAGAAACAGCACCGAAAACACTGTAATAATACGAAATATTCTGATTGTATGCTTGAATGTTACCAGCGGAGGCTGGCTGGTAAACAATGCCACCGGCGGAACATATGAGGCTGGCTCAGGCCGTACATTGGACGCGTCTCGGACGAAGGGCGCTGAGCGGGTTTTTGGGCGGTATGCGGGGCAAAATTTTAGCGATCAAAGCGTCCGGTTATGCGGATTGTCCGTTATGCAAGGCGTCCGGTATGCGGGGGTCCACTGTATACCCTTTAAGGTCTAATCAAATCTGGAATTTGCAAATATAAAAAAACTGTCCATTTAAGTTTGTTGTGGACCATATCTATTTATATAATACTCTTATCAGGTTACAGTAATCCTATAAAGATTTTGGTGCGGGAAAACTATTGAGCACATTTTGAACAAAAACTACCTGGAATAATTGACAATTAACCCACAATTTTGAGGATATTTTTTGACAATTTGACAACAGTCTAAGAGAGCCAAAAATTTGAAACAAAAAATTGAGTGATATTTTTACTTACTTATTACACAGCCATTTCCATTTGAATCTTGGGATGAGGATTGTAACCCACCAACTCAAAATCTTCAAATTTAAAGTCATTGATAGATTCAACATTTTCTTCTGATATTTAGCTTTGGGAATGGTCTTGGTTCTCGCTTCAGCTGTTCCTCTAGAGCAGAGCAGTGGTTGGAGTACACATGCGCATCTCCCAGCGTGTGTACAAAATCCCCAGGCTGCAGAAGAATCAAGTCAACTTTAATACAGAGAACAAATACACAGGCTTACTATGAAATTGAAATCAAAGCTGGGGGATAAATTAAAGCATGTAGCAACAGCCTGGTTTATACTAGGCAAGCCTGGCCATAGCCGGGCTCCGGGAGCAGAAAAACTCTCGTAACACATCAAAGGTATGTATTACAGAACAAGTGAATATGAACTGGGATACCTTTGATGAGATCTGAGAGTTTGTCAACACCCAGAGCCAGGCTCATCTGGTGCTTGAAATATCTGGCAGAGAATGATAGGTGAAAGTGTTTCTTTGTACGAGTTGCTCATTCCTGATGGTAAAATGACACACTACAAAGAAAAAACCCTGTATATACACCTACCATCCGACTTACGACTGAGTTTGGTTCTGAGAAACCGGTCGTAAGTCGAAATGGTCGTAAGTCGAACTTTACTACTGAATATCAACAAAACATTTTTGTAATGATTTTATTTTATTGTTTTATTTTGGTATTTCATGTTTTACTTTACTTTTTATGCTGTTAGTACTGTATTTTATACTGTAAGGTTTAGGATAAACACTGTGTACAACACAAATAGTTGTTTATTTCCCAGAAATTTGGCATTAAAAAACACGGTCATAAGTTGAGTGGTCATAAGTCGAGCAGGTCCTAAGTCGGATGGTAGGTGTATATAAATTATAATTATTTTAGACCTAAAATTGGAAACCAGTTTTAAGCTAGAGGTGAAGTAAGAAACTGGTACAAAAATTTCTGAATTTTTTAAACTAAGAGAAGGAAGAACAAAAAAAAATACCAGGTGTATGATAGAGTTCTACAAGAAATTAGAAGTAAGACAATTAATTTATACGGTTGTAGTATTTCATAGCATTACATTTGTAACTGGCAAAGGAGTTGCAAACATTGATAGGGAAACTGGAAATAACTGAAATAAGTGTAATCGAGTTGACAAGACTAAAAATACATATGAACAACAGGGTAATGAATAAAAACAAAAAATGTAGATTGCTGCAGAACAGAAATGCTAAAAAAAAAAAAATGAAACAAACAGAGTTAATATTTAGGGTTTTAACAGCTTTTTAACCTGGAGTAAATCAATACTGTGTTAGGGCTCAGTTGACTACCTAAAGTACAATTTATGGTACTAACCAGAGTATTTGTAGCTACAGGACCCTGGTCACCTATCAACACTATTTCATTGGTCACATATTTTAGTTTCTACAAACATTACCTCTATGTCCACAGCAGAACTCTAACCTGCAAACTCTGCATCAGAGCACTGTATACTCTGATGCAGAATACTGGTGTCATGGATAAAGTACTGTGTTACTCTGACAAAGAATTTGCAGGTTCGAGTCCTGCTGCGGACGTAGAGATAATGTTTTTAAATACAGTGGACCCCCGCATAACGCTATTAATCCATTCCTGAGAGCTCAATGTTATGCGAATTAATTTTCCCCATAAGAAATAATGGAAATCAAATATAATCCGTGCAAGACACCAAAAGTATGAAAAAAAAATTTTTTTTTTTACCACATGAAATATTAATTTTAATACACACAAACTTAAGAAAACATGCACAGTTACATGACACTTACCTTTATTGAAGATGTGGTGATGATTGATGGGATGGGAGGAGGGGAGACTGGATGGTTTTAGTGTTTAGAAGGGGAATCCCCTTCCATTAGGACTTGAGGTGTCAAGTCCTTTTCCGGGGTTGCTTCCCTTCTTCTTTTAATGCCACTAGGACCAGCTTCAGAGTCACTGGACTTCTGTCGCACAACATATCTGTCCATAGTGGCCTGTACCTCTCGTTCCTTTATGACTTTCCTAAAGTGTTTCACAACAGTGTCAGTGTAATAGTCACCAGCACGGCTTGCAATAGCTGTCTGAGGGTGATTTTCATCCATGAAGGTTTGCACTTCAAGCCACTTTGTACAGATTTCCTTAATCTTTGAAGTAGGCAACTTCTTCAATTTCTCTCTCCGAACTGGCAGCCTCACCATGCCTTATCACACTATGTATGCCACTACGCCTCTTAAATCTCTCAAACCAACCTTTGCTGGCCTTAAATTCACTCGCATCACCACTAGTTGCAAGCATTTTTCTAATTAAATCCTCGTGCAACTTCCTAGCCTTTTCACTTATGATCGCTTGAGAGATGCTATCGCCTGCTATCTGTTTTTCGCTTATCCACACCAATAACAGTCTCTCAACATCTTCTATCACTTGCGATCTCTGTTTCAAAAGCACAGTTAAACCTTTGGCAAGAACAGCTTCCTTGATTGCCGTTCTCTTGGACACAATAGAAGCGATGGTTGATTGGGGTTTACTATACAACCTGGCCAGCTCGGAGACACGCACTCCACTTTCATACTTAGCAATGATCTCTTTCTTCATCTCCATAGTAATTCTCACCCTTATTCCTGTAGGGTTGGCACTAGAAGCTTTCTTGGGGCCCATGGTCACTTATTTTTCAGGTGAAATCACTATAAAAAGGCTGTAATAACACGAAATGTTCTGATTGTATGCTTGAATGTTACCGCGGAGGCTGGCTTGTAAACAATGCCACTGGCAGAACAAGTGAGGCTGGCTCAGGCCACATGGACGTGTCTCGGACGAATCGCGTTGAGCGAATTTTTTAACACTATGCAAGGCAAAATTTTAGCGATAAAATGTATCGCTATGCGGATTTAATACTATGTGATGCCAACATTATGCGGGGTTTAACTGTAATTTTTGCCTGTTTGTGCATTGTTAAGCATTTCAGTTTTCAGTGATTGAAGCACAGAGTTTGCATTATGCCCCATAGATGCTCATTAAATACTTAATCACATTAAAAATTAGTTCTTTGCAGCAAGTGTATCCTAAGGGCATAAAATTCCTTCTATGAAAATTATTGCAGCAAGTGTATCCTAAGGGCAAAAAAATTCCTTCTATGAAAATTAAGCTGAGACCTTAAACACAAAAAATTTATATTGAGAAATCACATCCTAGTATAACAGCTCGGTAATAGGATATAATTTATTTTGTGCCAATTTTGTCAAAGTTAAAATTTAAATTCACTCCGAGAGAATGCATACGAGGTCAAAAATTTATTGAGTAAATGTATGTACAGCTGATTGCACATAACTTATCACCAATTAACAATCTTGTAACATACAATTAGTTGTCAAAACAATCTTGTAACATATAATTAGGTCTCAAAACAATCTTGTAACATACAATTAGTTGTCAAAACAATCTTGTAGCATACAATTAGCTGTCAAAACAATCTTGTAACATATAATTAGGTCTCAAAACAATCTTGTAACATACAATTAGTTTTCAAAATAATCACTAGGACTTGTACTACATAATTTTAAAAAGTCTGGAATTTAGAATGGAAACGTAGCTGATATTTTGGCCCATTCCAGACCATTACATCTGTCATTGGATGATGATCAAGGATGAGCTCAAATATCATCTATTATAGGTTAATCATCTGTTGTTCCAGCCATGGCACTAACATTTTTCAATAAGCTCTGTGTATTTTAACTAAATTCAAAGAGACACCAGCAGGATCTCATCAGGAAAACACTGGCAAGGACAAACAAATAAATTCATAAGAAGAATAAATAAATCATTAAAATACATATAATGAACAGGCTCTTATGAGAGAAAACATTAGGTTAACAAGATATAAATTAATAAAGAAAAAAAAAACACATGCTGGCATAAACAAGAAGTGAGTGACAACAAAATTAGCCATTGTGTAAGTTGAACAAATGCAAAAATCAGTCTGGGAAAATCTGATGTAGTATATCAATTAAAAATTTACTTACTGCTTCAGGGCCCATGAACCACTCTCGTTACTGCGACCTGTTGGTAGACCTCTCATTACATCAAGATAAACAATATAGGGAGATTAAGTTAAACAGAAACATGATAGAGCTTATAAATAACACTTGCGAGAAATGACAGAATTTTCTAATACAAATAATTTTAAGAAACAAAATCATGAAAAATCAAATGACAATGCATAGTTATGTCAGATGGTTAACCCTTCAACTGTCCAAACGTAGATCTGCGTTTGCACGTGTAGCACTCCAACCTTGATTTTCTCCATAAGAAACAATGTAAAACAAACGTAGATCTACATTTGGACATTTTTAAGGGTTAAAAGCAAAATTTAAAGAAGCACTGTATTTGAATAGATATAAAAATTTATGAAGGGATTTAGAGAAACCAGTTAGCCAGACTTAAGTCTGGGAGGTGGGAAATACAGCACCTGCACTCTGAAGGAGGGGTGGAAATATTTGCAGTTTTTAACTGTAGTATTAGTGCCTCTCTGGCAAGACAGTGATGGAGTGAGTAATGGTTAAAGTGTTTCTTCCCTTTTGGGTCACCCTACCTTTTAGATGGCCAGTTTGTTGAAAAAAAGGATGGAGCAACACATAGCTATACTATATTAGTAGGCACAGTATCCTCTTTGAAACTGTAAAAAGCATTGAAATTAATATATGAACAGATAATTCCCACGTAATTGGAAAAAATCAAACACAGTAGAAAGGATCTATACATTTTATCCTCAATTCAAGCCCCTCTTCAGCAGATGGAAGATTTACCACTTCAATAATAAATGTTACATGTGTTCAATATTGGTATGATTGTGTTCAAAATTAGGTTCAGGAGAATTCTAGGAAGGTTTTTACATTAAAAATTAAAGAAAGTGAAGAAACATCTGAAGTAGAATATCGAGATTTATCTCAAGTCTTCGAAAAAGCACATACGTATATGAACTAAAAAGATAAAAAAAATAGCTTTATGGTATTTACAACAGATTTTTTATATACAGTGGACCCTCAGCTAACGATATTAATTCATTCCTGAGAGCTCATCGTTAACTGAAATTATCCTTAGCTGAATTAATTTTCCCCATAAGAAATAATGGAAATCAAATTAATCCGTGCAAGACACCCCAAAGTATGAAAAAAAAAATTTTTTACCACATGAAATATTCATTTTAATACACACAAACTGACACTTACCTTTACTGAAGATCTGGTGATGATTGATGGGATGAGAGGAGGGGAGAGTGTGGAAGGGGAATCCCCTTCCATTAGGACTTGAGGTATCAAGTCCTTTTCCGGGGTTACTTCCCTTCTACGAGACTTTAACTTTAGTCATATTGATTGGAATTTCTTGACTGGGAATTTAGAATCATACGACTTCTTAGAAGTAGTTCAGGATTGTTTTTTGAAGCAGTTTGTGACAGAACCTACAAGGGGAAATAACCTGCTTGACTTAGTTATGGCAAACAATGAATCCCTTGTTAATAATTTAGAAATTTCAGAGGAACTGGGTGCTAGCGACCACAAATCAATTACATTTAACATTGAATGGAAGTACGATAGTAGCGATAACTCAATAACAGTCCCAGATTTTCGCTTAGCAGATTACGATGGGCTTAGAGAACACTTATCATCTGTTGACTGGGGTAACGAAGTGAGATATCAATATGACAGTATTCTGAACACTATACATGCTGCTCAAAGAACGTTTATCCCATACAAAGAAATTAGATCAAATCGAAATGACCCAAAATGGATGAATAATAGGCTCAAATATCTACTAGGGCATAAGAAAGGAATTTATAGGCGTATCAAAAGAGGTGAGGGTCATCTTATGAATCAGTATATTGACATTAAGAGGGACATTAAAAAGGGGATAAGAAAAGCTAAAAGGGACTATGAAATTAAAGTTGCTAGGGATTCTAAAACTAACCCAAAAAGTTTTTTCCAGGTCTATAGAACAAAAGTTAGAGATAAGATAGGTCCCCTTAAAAATAACTATGGGCACCTTACTGACAAAGAGAATGAAATGTGCTCGATTTTTAATAATTATTTTCTCTCAGTTTTTACACAGGAAGACACTAACAATATTCCAGTAATTAATTTTTATAGTGGGCTAGAAGAAGATAAATTATGTAACATCACAGTCACTAGTGAAATGGTTGTGAAGCAGATAGACAGACTGAAGCAAAATAAGTCGCCGGGTCCTGATGAGGTTTTTTTCAAGGGTTTCTTAAGGAATGCAAAATGGAACTCTGTGAACCATTAACTAATATTTTTAATTTATCTCTTCAAACAGGTGTAGTGTCTGATATGTGGAAGATGGCTAATGTAATTCCTATTTTTAAAACAGGGGACAAGTCGTTACCGTCAAATTACCGCCCAATAAGCCTGACCTCAATTGTAGGCAAATTACTAGAGTCAATTATAGCTGAGATTATAAGAAGCCATCTCGATAAGCATAGCTTGATTAATGATACTCAGCATGGATTCACAAGAGGCCGGTCTTGTCTAACTAATTTATTAACTTTCTTCAGTAAAGCTTTTGAGCTGTTGACCACGATAAAGAATTTGATATTATTTACTTAGATTTTAGTAAGGCTTTTGATAGAGTTCCGCACCATAGACTGTTAAAGAAAGTGGCAGCTCATGGCATTGGGGGAAAAGTGCTCTCGTGGATCGAGTCATGGCTCACTGACAGGAAGCAGAGAGTGTCCATAAATGGGGTTAAATCCAAGTGGGGATCTGTAACAAGTGGCGTTCCACAGGGATCAGTCTTGGGCCCGTTGTTGTTTATAATATATATCAATGATCTTGATGAGGGAATTACTAGTGATATGAGCAAATTCGCCGATGACAAAAAGATAGGTAGGATAATTGATTCAAACGTAGATGTTATGGAACTTCAGGAGGATTTAAACAAATTCTATTCTTGGTCAGAAAAGTGGTAGATGCAGTTCAATGTAGATAAATGCAAGGTTCTGAAGCTTGGGAGTGCCCATAACCCTAGTACTTATAAGTTAAATGATGTAGAACTTAGCCATACAGATTGCAAAAAGGACTTGGGGGTTATGGTGAGCAGCAACCTTAAACCAAGATAGCAAGGGCTAAGCGTATGTAATAAGGCAAATAGATTACTGGGATTTATATCAAGAAGTGTAAGCAACAGAAGTCCAGAGGTCATACTGCAGCTTTATACATCATTAGTAAGGCCTCCCCTAGATTATGCAGCTCATTTTTGGTCTCCATATTACAGAATGGACATAAATTCATTAGAAAACATCAGCGTAGGTGACTAAATTAATACATAGCATTAGAAATCTTCCTTATGAAGAAAGTTGAAGACTCTTAAGTTACATTCACTTGTTAGACGAAGAATGAGGGGAGACCTGATCGAAGTGTTAAGTGGAAGATAGGTATTAATAAAGGGGATATTAATAAGGTCTTGAGGATGTCTCCCCAAGAAGAACCCGCCAGTAATGGATTTAAATTAGAAAATTTTTAGATTTAGAAAGGCCCATGGGAAAGAAATTGGTTTGGAAATAAGGGGTAGTAGATGAGTGGAACAGTTACCTAGTTGGGTTTAAATGAGGCTGGGACTATGGGTAGTTTCAAATTTGGGTTGGATAAGTACACGAGTGGGAGGGGTTGGATTTGAGTGGGACTTTCACATCAGAGCTTATTTCTTGGGTGGCATTGAAAATTGGGTTGGGGCAAATGTTTTGTTATTGGATGAATTGTAAAGATCTGCCTGTATGGGCCAACAGGCCTCCTGCAGTGTTCCTCCTTTCTTATGTTCTTCTTTTAATGCCCCTAGGACCAGCTGACCTTGGTGCAGAAACAGCTGACCGTGGTGCGCAACAGCTGCCTTTGGTGCAGCAGCAGCTGACTGTGTTCAACAACAGCGGGACTGTGGTTCAACAACAGCTGACTGGTGCACCCAGCAGCTGACCGTGGTGCAGCAACAGCTGACTGTGGTGCAGCAACAGTTGACTTTGGTGCAGCAGCAGCTGACCGTGGTGCAGCAACAGCTGACCGTGGTGCGCAACAGCTGACGGTGGTGCAGCAGCAGCTGACGGTGGTGCAGCAGAAAGCTGACGGTGGTGCAGCAGCAGCTGACGGTGCAGCAGCAGCTGACTGTGGTGCGGGAAAACAGCTGACTGTGGGCAGCAAAAAGCTGACCGTGGTGCAGCAACAGCTGATGGTGGTGCGGGCAGCAGCTGACGGTGGTGTAGCAACAGCTGACTGTGGTGCAGCAACAGATGACGTGGTTTGTAGCATCAGCTGACCGTGGTTCAGCAACAGCTGACTGTGTGCAACAGCAGCTGACCATGGTGCAGCAACAGCTGATGGTGGTGCAGCAGCAGCTGACTGTGGTGCAGCAACAGCTGACTGTGGTGCAGCAGCAGCTGACCGTGGTGCAGCAGCAGCTGACTGTGGTGCAGAAAACAGTGACTGGTGCAGCAGCAGCGGGACGGGTGCGGGCAACAGCTGACTGGTGCAGCAGCAGCTGCCCGTGGTCCAGCAACAGCGGGACTGGTTGCAACAGCAGCTGACCTTTGGTGCAGCAACAGCTGACTGGTGCAGGAGCAGCTGACTGGGGTTTGCAGCAACAAGCTGCTGTGGTGCAGAAAACAGCTGACTGTGGTGCAGCAACAGCCGACCGTGGTGCAGCAACAGCTGATGGTGCAGCAGCAGCTGACCGGGGTTTGCAGCAGCAGCTGACCTTTGGTGCAGCAACAGCTGACTGGTGCGCAGCAGCGGGCCGTGGTGCAGCAACAGCTGATGGTGAAAGCAGCAGCTGACATGGTGCAGCAGCAGCTGACCGTGGTGCAGCAGCAGCTGACCGGGGTGCAGCAGCAGCTGACCGTGGTGCAGCAGCGGGCTGACCGTAGTGCAGCAGCAGCTGACTGGTGCAGCAGCAGCTGACCGTGGTGCAGCAACAGCTGACTGGTGCAGCAGCAGCTGACCGTGGTGCAGCAACAGCTGACTGGTGCAGCAGCAGCTGACTGTGGTGCAGCAACAGCTGACTGGTGCAGCTGCAGCTGACCGTGGTGCAGCAGCAGCTGACCGGGGTGCAGCAGCAGCTGACCGTGGTGCGCATCAGCTGACCGTGGTGCAGAAGCAGCTGCCCGTGGTGCAGCAGAAAGCTGCCCGGGGTTTTCAAC